ATGGGAGAAGAAATAGCCATATGTTACCCCAAAGTGATCGCAATAAACACGGCCCGAAAATGAACTCGGCATGCCTATCCTGATTTCTGCGTGAAAAACAACGCTACCAGCACATCCAAGTAGAAGGCGCTGTTTTTTTTTTATAACAAAAAAAAACATTATATATATTTGTTTTAAGTACCGCCGAGCCGTTTTTCCTAACAAGCCTAATAAGCCTCTTAGTACTTTCACTTTTGCCATAGAAATACTTCTTACAGACGCCATTGTTCTGAAGAAGGTAATAGGAACTGCATAAATTTCATGGCGTCTCTTTGTATTTTAAGAACAGAAAGTAATTATTTATCCATAATGCAGGAAAGATCATTATTTATTTATATTTTAAATACTACGCTGTCCATTTACAAACTTATAATCAGGATAAGAAAATGAAAAAAAAAAATCAACATTTGCCATAATATTTAGAAAACATCTTGAAAATTAATATTCCAATCATTCTTCTTCTGCCTTTTCATTTGACTGCTTTCAGTGTTAACATACGTCATTTTTTACAATAATATTAATTCTTTACTTGGCCCACGAACCCCTTGAGGTAGAGTGTAAGAATTAAGGGGCATAGTTTATAATGACATGCGGGGAAGATTGGGATGATCGAGGAAGTATCCTCTTGGGAATTCGTTCTACGAAGTAATGGTTCGTTGGGAGACGTTGTTCGAGTGGAACTTCTCACCATTGGAATACGAGGGAAATGAAGGTGGTTCGCTGCAATGAATGTGACATGGTTGGTCTTATCTATGAAGGTTAAAACTAGTGAGACTAAAGAATGTAGTTCGTCTGAACACTTCCCAAGGAGATAGCCACAGAGTAGCGCGAGGCTAATACCGTTTCGTCTATGGGGGGAAAACAATTGTAGGGTGGAAAATAATTAATCATATAAAAAACCGCGCAGACGCTTCAATCGACACTGGAAATTGAGACTTGACAGCAGTACTCCATTTTCAGCCTGACCTGGCTCTTGTCGAGGATAGATGAAGGAGTTTGGTACTTGCTGACGAGGCACAGGGAACCGACCATTTTCCCAGCATCCTTTAGCGGTGGTTCGTATACACCAGTTCCGCTTGAGGTCTAGGTAGGGTTTAAGTCCCAATCGTCGCTAAAAGCATGGGGCCACCCTGAAAGAATACACGTTGCAATAATATACTGATGGGGAAAAAAAGAACCATTGTTATTAGCATCAGAATACTGGCTGTTGCAATCACATTACAACACCATTAAAATCCTGGCTCCGGGGTTGATTTATTGTCATTTTACAGCGCCGAGGTCTTCGCTCTCGGCAGAATCAAGTAATATGGATATTTTTTTTTTTTTTTTTTTTCGGTTTTATATCTCCTCGCGTTTTATTTTGAAACTGGATAGAAATGTTAATTGCTTGTGCAACCTCACAGAGTTTTAGACCCCAGTTCTGAACTGCATTACGAATAAATATTTTATAGCATACACACGCACATTATATATATATATATATATATATATATATATATATATATATATATATATAAATGTGTGTCTGTGTGTGTATAAGAGAGAGATAAAAAATTTGTTTGCATCGACAGTCTTTGTTAGAATCTAAGGCGATAATTAGATTGTATGGGCCGTTTCTCAAACAACCGACGTACCATAATCAACATTTTCCCGTATCAGTAAGAAAATATATGGGTGTATGTAAATACACCAATAAAGTCGTAGCCTAATGAAGAAATATTTGCTTTGCGAAAAAAAAATATTTATTTTTGAACATAATTCCCCTCCTTGTCAGTGCACTTAATTTATCAATGAATATTAATCAAATAGATTAAAGATTATACCGTGAACATTTCAGATCAAAATTCTGCTCATAACTACGTGCTATGAATCTATTGATCCTCTTTCTTATTTATAAAATGGAATATTAAAATAGATCTTCTTCTTCTATGTGCTCTGTCTCTTCATGTTCTTTCTAGCTTTTAGTAAAGTTTGTATTCTTGTTATATATCTTAATCTCTGTTCTGTTCACCCATTTACACAAGTATGTTATGCACTGTTGTCATCTGTGCCCCTTGCCTTCAATATGTCCCGTAAGTATTCAATTTCCTAAGCCCTCTTTCCTCATTATACGCCTTAAAAATTCCAACTCTCATCCTTATGTTAAGTATAAGTGTCTCTTGTTTCCATTATCTCTAAAACTTCGTTGTTGATCAAATGTTCGGTAGATGGTATTCTCAGCATCCTTCTGGAGGACGTTCTGTTGCCTCATGTCTTTTCTTCATGTCAGGAGATTGTCCATCATTCACTGCCATACAGGAGAAGCGACAATGCATAAGAATCTAATACTCTTTTCTTTGTTGCCCATGAAACATTCCCGTCTCATAATACTTTGAAGTTGAAAAAGAAAGATAAGTAAATAAGTAATTATGCAATAAAAATACATGATTATATAATAAAATATTATGCGAAAACAAACAAACATTTTTATATAGTGAAGCACTGTATCTTCATGAAAAGAAAAAAAAAACGCCATGTTGTCACTGCTCTCTACAATTTTGGTGATCATTTGGGAAGTGGAGTTTTCTAAGACGATAGTTTCTTATTTATAAGTTTACGGCGACATCTCGTTGAAACATCGGTTCTCGTACAATCACCGAAGTTAAGCAACGTCGAAGCTGGTCAGTACCTAGATGAGAATACTAGTTGCTGTAAGCTTAAATGTGCGGATGGTGTAATGGATATTGCTCGGAATTGTTAATTGTGGTTGAGCTTATGTTCACTTACCCTTGAGAAATGTAAGAATCCATCTCTCCCTCCAGGTATGGGTTAATTAGTAAGACTTGTATAAAAGCTGCAAATGGATGATAACCCGTAGAAAACGAATCCATTAATCTTATATAATTAATGATAACACGTAGAACTTTTACAAACATGACTCATATCTTAATCGAAAGCAAATTGTTACTTGTTGATCCCACTTTTCTTATAAAATTTATACCCTGAAAGTTTTGCCAATGTATAGTCATTAGAAATCTAACCCCATGGTCTTGTGGTAGATTAAGCAATGTTTATTATTGTCTTGAGTTCGACCCTCGCTGGATGCTCTCAACTTGTGTATTTAGACTAGATGAGGTTTAGCTCAATAAATATCGATAACACTTGTACGGCACTTGTAAGTTGGTCTTGTTTTAATGATTTCGACTAATTTGTATTGTAGCATATTATAGCATATAATAAAATATTCTATTTACATTATTCGGTTTATTGTCCTCATCTTTGTTGCCATGTTTATCACAGCGTTTCGGTAGTTGTACGCTCCGGCCTTCTTCAGGTGGTTGGAATGTCGAACTGAACCCTTTATTTCGCTCACTGAGGTAGACTGTTGTAGTTCTACATGTATAATGGATGTCAGTTATCAGTTATTTCCTTTTAATTCCCATCTCCAAGTTCTCCACTGCCATAACCAGGTATTGAACTCGCATTCATTGGGTCCTGTCACTGGATTTAACTAACGCCTTTATCCACTGTGCCATGTGCCCTTGAGAACTGTGTATGAATTTCTGGGTATTATAAGCCTAATGTCTTCAGCAACTTTTTCACCAGTGCTCATATTGCAATTTTTGCTGTTATCATTCCATGTTTTTACCAGAGCCCATATTGCAGTTTTTCGTTGTTATTATCGCTTTTCTCTGCCACTCCTTATTACTGGTCCCCATATTGTATTCATTTCGATGCTCGTTCGGCTCAGGAGATTTTTGTTTCCATATCATATGTGCTGATTCCTTAAGTTTACGAATTTTCCAATGATAAGAGTACAACGGCCGAAACGTTGTGATAAACATGGCAACAAAGATGAGGACAATAGTCCGAATAATTTAAATAGTGTACATAATACCTCATCTCAGAAATATAGACAGCATATAATATATTTAAATGCTTTATTAATTGAAGACGGAGGCGATCAGGTCTTTCCACATTTTTCTTTATTATCAGTGAATTATTATGATTTCTTAGGAAAGTGGTATGATTTTCTTCTTCCCTCTCCTTTCAGAGTATTCCCGCGTATACTCGTTCGCATCCAAGGCTAAATAACTTTTATTTAACACATAGTTGGTGATGAAAGTGATGGATACATCCGTTTCCCAAGGATAGAAAACCCTTTCCAGAGCTATTATTTAACCTCTAGCTGGAGAGGTGGGGATAGGCGTGTACATGCTGTTCCCAAGGCTAGAGAATACAGTCTACCCTCCTAACATAACATAACTAGCGGTCGAGAAGAGAAGGATGAACACCGTTTCCAAAGGGCATTAATGTGAAAGTTAACGCTATGAACTCAGGATTCCGATTCCATTTTCGTCACCGATAACCGTTTCGCCATTCTCACGTCCCATCCTTAGTTCGGAAGAATTCCATCTTTCTTGTCTTGACTTGGAGTGCATGGCTTTCGATCTTAAGGATATGCAGTTAAACTAACCGATATACAATGAGACTAAGCTCTTGCTAACTTCATTGTAGAAGATATTTCAAGCAAAATGAATATAATTAATCATTTCGAAGCAGCTGGTAACTTCCTTTACTAACTTTCCTTGTTCCTGGAGCAGCTGAAGAGATGTCTTGCGAGAAATTACTTTGTTCTGAGACTTCATAATTTGGTAATGAACCGGATATTGATTCACAATTCGTAGGTCGGGATGAAGACAGTGAAACAGTTAATTACTCATGAACGGTTGATAAGATATGTTGCCAATACGACGTCACACAAAAATACCTCAATTTGAAGCGATTAAACAAAAAAAAAGTTTAATTTGATTCAAAGATTTAATATTAAATCCCCGATAAGCGTTTTATCAAGTTAGAGATTAAAATAATAGGAAGGTAAATAGGAGAAAACTGTAACAGTTTGTAGAGTATTAGGCAAATACATTTAGCTATATGGGTAGTTTAGTTTTAAAGACATTTACAAAAAATGCTCGAGGATGTTAAGAAAATTCAGATGAAGAAATGAGAGGAGAAATAAGGAAAGCGGTAGTGGGAGTAAAAGAGAAACTAGTGGAAAAAAAACCCCAAAGATGTTTATAAAAGAAAACGGGGGAAGAGGAGAGAAGGGAATAAATAAAATAGGGTGAAAAAAAAAGAGAGAAGCAGGAACATAAGGAGAAATAAAGAATATTGAATGAAATGGGACAAGAGAAGGAAAAATGATTAGGAAGAAAAAATAAAAAAAGAGAAATTAGGACAATGGAAAATGTGACGATATAAAAGGAAAGATAGCCAATTAAAAAGAAAGAAAAGAAAGGGGAACCTTAAAAATGGATCGAAATGTGACAATAGAAACGAGAAAAAAATAATGATTAAAATATGAAAGAGAAAGTGAAAGAAAAAAGAGTGAGAGAAAAAAAACACGAAAGTTAATAGAAAATAAAACGAAATTAGACAATAAAAAAGAGAGGAAAGATAATGAAAAGAAATATAGAAATTGTGGTGATACGAAATATCAAATAAAGAAAAGAAAGAAAGAAAAAGTAGATAAGGTTGATACAAAGAAAGAAATAAAATATGGAAATATGAAGGCGAGCCGACTCAGACAAATGTCGGAGAAAATTAGAGACAATTACAAAGCAAACGGATGGAAGAAAAGGAATTGAGAGGAAGAAAAGCAGATGAAATAGCTACAAGAAACCAAACTAGAGAAGAGACGGATGCTCCAACCGAAGGATAACAATCGTTAATAACCAGATGACGTCAGAAAATGTAACGAAATTAGAGAATATAAAGATTTTATTGAAATATCTAAAAGTGGTGCATCGTAAATACATTATACACAAAAAAGCAAAAGTTTCATAGCGAGACTGATCGATTTAGAGAGGGAGAGAATGACTGAAAGTATCGAGAGAATTGTCAAAAAAAAATACCGTGTGTGTCTAGGTGTGTGCATGCTTGCTATAAATGAGAAAGATAAAATATATATGATTATAGAATTTTTTGTCACTTGTCAGAAAAATTCTGTAGCCATCTTTATAGGAATCAGTTTTGATTTTAACATGCGTAGGTCGAAGTGCGCATCTTTTTTTTTTTTTTAACGAAAACTTTTGAACAGGCGTTTATGAATTCTTCGGATTAGAAACATCGTTTTTGTTATTTTGTGCATTCCGTGTCAACAACTGAATTATGTACACTTTCTCAAGTCAGCCAACGTGTTTTGTACCCTTTTTAGGTCGGTCGACGTGGTCTGTACTTTTTTAGGTCGGTCGATGTGATATGTACACTTTTTCAACACGACCAGCCAGTTCTGCACACTTTCGGGGGGTGTTAACCAGTGTGTTCTGTACACTTTCTAGGGTCGGCCGGCTAGTTCTGTACACATTCTCAGCTGTCAACTGTATCTGAACAGGTGTGAAATTTCGTCTTCTGTTTGATTTTATTGCTAAATTTCGTCGTGTGTAAAACAAGAATATCTTATTTATCCGAACGAATTGTTTTACTGAGTTGTAGGGAATAGACCATTACTTAGAAGCAGGACATTCTGAAATTGAATAAACGTGTTTTCAATGATTAAAGGATGCTGCACACGTCTGAAGAAGGCGGGAGAATGCATAGGTCAAAACAACAAAAGACGAGGGTAGTATAACGAATAATTAATAAAAATACTGGCATCAATTTAATTCAGAATTAAAGTTTTATATCCAAGTGATAGTCACGCACTTTTGTAAATACACGCAAAGACACACAAACATATGGATTTTTTTAACCGATATTATTTGCTACTAGATCAAAAGTTATTTTGTGGATACTCATGTTTTGAATAGATGTCCTGTATTAAAAAACAGTTTGAATTATGTCTAACGGCCTGCCTATCCGAATGAATGTGTTCTCCAAGCTACGTCCCACTTTGTAGAAGAAGCTACCTTCTGATCCGACGTGCTTTAGACCGCTCAGCCACAGAGAGCGTCACAACCCAGCAAGGTTCAATTACCCATTTGAAGAATGCATATCCTCCCATTCTGATCTCGGAAGCCCATACCTGCTCTTTTTTCGTATCTGAAACGTAAACAAATTAATTTCTATGAATCAAATGGATTTTTTATCTGACATTATTTCCTTTTACATCAAGAGGGTATCTTTCTATATTTCCGAGATGAGGTATTGAAACGACGTTTCGGTCATTGTACATTCCAGCTCCAACCAGCGCTTTATCCACGGGCTCATGTGTCCTTGAGCACGTCGAACTAGAACAAACTACCCAGGGTTCAGTTCGAAATTCCAGTCACCTGAAGAATACCGGACCGTACAACGACCGAAATGTCGTTAATATGGCAATAAACATCTAGCCAACATTTCGAATAATGTAAATAATGTATATACTCAAGAGGGTAATTGAACCTTGCTGACCTCAGACACTGTCCGTCGTAGAGTGGTCTGAGATACATTCTCATTCGAGAGACTTAATAAATACTTAATAAATTCAATAAAGTCTTTCGAGTGTTCAGTCCGGTAGACGTAATTCACACGGTTAAAAAAAACAAACAAACAAAGCAAACAGCGCTTCTACTCAAACATGGTTATCCACAAAGTTTCAAGTTTGTATTGAGACAAATTGGAAACTATTCTACATTCCATATATATATATATATATATATATATATATGTGTGTGTGTGTGTTGGTGTGCGCATGAACGTGTAGTTTTAAATTCATTTTAATGCAGCTAAAACGCAAGGGGCAACTGGGAGTGAAAGAGAACAAGAAAAATTTAGATGAAACCGTAAATCCAATCCTAAACAGAAAACAAGGAATAAACCTCTATTAGGTGAGGAGTGTGAACCAGACGATAGCCGAATCTGTAGATATATTATGGGCTTTCAAATCAACGTTGAATAGTAATTATCAATTTCTCATCTCTAGCGATCATCATGCACTTGATATTTATTTTCGTTTTAATGACAAAAATGCCTAACATTTGTATTAGTCTCACCTTGTCCTTACTCTGTTTTGCTTTAACCCAAGGTCGTCTGGGAAAATGTTGCCAAGCTGGTATTTTTAGAAAAGTTAGTCTCCTCTTTTGGAATTTGAAAAGACCTCATTTGGTCCACCTGGGGAAATTTAGTTATGAGGGATTATTTACTGAAATAATGAACCTGAAGTAAAACGTAGCCGCATTTCATCATTACCAATGACATATATATGTAGTCATGTATATAGTAATAAAAACAGTAGATAACATAAAAGAACTAACACATAACAAAGAACTACAAGTTCTATTATGCCTCTTTCTAAATGAAATACTCACTAAACACCCACAAATTACAAATCAATAATTGGTCTGTTAAATTCAATTTGACAAATAAATTAGTGTAAGGAGACAGAGAGATAGATGGAAGTGACAGTCGAAGAAGTATTTTAGAATATTTCTAATCAATCCAAATGTTGCTCAGACATTGCTCTCACTGCGTGGAGCTTCCAAAATGATCACGTGATATCTGTATATTTTGCAGACCAGAGAACAAATAAAGGAAGTTTTATATCTCGGGAACCAGTGGTTTCTAGAACATGAAATTTTGCCTGGTTATAACTGTTGTTAATAGACAAATTGGCAGTATACTTTTGTTTTCACTTTGACCGCTTCCTTTTTGGCAGTCGGGTCGGTAAAATATAATGCCGTTTCGAAGAAAACTTGATGGTCTTGTGTGCTACAAGTAAGGTATGACTAGAGAATAAAGAAAACAAATACACAGAAATAATTCTTTACAGAAAGCAATCCATTAAGAAACTTGACACTTGAAAGTCCTGTTTTGCTAAGCGAACTGATGGCTAAACCTGAAAATAGAAATACTTATTAAAAAAAGTATGTATATTTTTTCAAATCTTTTTGGTGTCTTACAAAAATGTCTTCCTTGGTTCAAAACCGAAAATTATAGAATCTGAAATCTTTAATTCAAACTCTATCTCAAAAATACTAAGCCCAGAAAATAGCACTCGATCAAAAAAGGTTATAAGATAGTACAAACGAATATTGAAATGTTCCCAACAACACCACCCAAAATAGCAAACAGGACGATCTAAATAGCTTGATATAACTAAAAGTAAACGTTCAAATAAATTAGTATCGTCTTCTCATTCGCCCTCTTCTTACTAATGTTGTTGCAATTAGTGCCCCTACAATCACTGCATGCTATTTCCCACGTGAGACCATGTTTCCGGCAAGAGCAGATCTTTGAGTTGCAAGGACTCTTGGACGTAATCTTGGACTTGCAACGCACATAATTCAGTAGTCTCCTCAGGTGCAGGATCTATATCATTAAGAACTGGAGCTAAAGTACTGTTTCTCATCTCACAACCCTAACTGCAAGGATCAAGTTGTCAATGACTTAGTCTTCCAAATCATAACTAGAAGCTGGTCACGGAGACTGGGGAACAAATCTGACCGTTCAGACTGTAACTTCTTTGACGATGTTGCGGCATACTCTATATATTGATGTAGCCGAAGGAGTCCAATATATCGTCTGGTTTTCCTCACATAATTTTGTGATCCCGCAAGTGCAACTTGAGCAGGAGACGCATTTGAATTAGCTAAAGTAGCGCAGCAAGACTGGATCACCTTTTGATTTATGATTAAGCCTGATTATCTCACATTCCCATGCCCAAATGCAGCTGACGTTGTCACATCCACCCTATGCGTGGATGACTGGCAAGTTTTGAAGAACGTGTCCCTCCGATTTCATGGATGCTGAGCAGCTTCCTCATCTTTCTCCGAGACTTCTTTCCCTCGGAACGCATATAGATGTGAGCCATGTCTGTGGAAAAGTAAAAGATGTTTGTGTCGTCAGCCATTTCAGTCACTAAATTTCCTACAATAGCTAATTTGAGCGTTTCAGAAACAATGTCCGTGTCTGCGTCTCCTTGTCTTTGGACCACCCGATGACCGTCTGCTTCCAAGGAAAGAACGTAACATCTTGACAAACTGGTCTTTGTTGTTCTCGTTATAGAGGAAGAGTTCTTGATGAGCAGCAATTTGCAAGCCATCTTCGATTTGTATGTTAGAAGTCCGAGCTGCTCTTCGCTGTTTTTTTTATGGACAGGCCTGCATAACCATAAAAAATTTTGCTTGATGGGCCGTGCTTGGCCTTTATGTAGCTCAGGTACTGTGCAACCACGTGGCTGTATGTCACCCTAAGCAACCCCTTCACTCGGTTGAGGAGATCACCGCCATCTGAAACAAATATTGTGTTAGTTTATGGCTGAAATTAAGGTACGTCAGTGGTCAGATGATGTTTCAGAACGGCTTTGTTTTTTTTTCTCCTTTGGAAATTCTTGAAAATTGAAGTTGGAAATGGAGTGAGTCCGAACTTTAAGAACGGGATCACATCTTTACATCTCTCCAGTAGAACAACCAGCCTTGAATACAGAGCATTACAGTCAACATGAACATTTTGACCATCAATCTTTACACATTATTCCAGCTCAACAAGCGTAAGCACTTGAGAACTTCTTTTCAGTGAGCTCTCTAAAACGTTCACGTTGTCAAACTTTCTGGATGGAGTGACCAATCTCCTCGACGATATCGCAACTGATTTCAGAACCATTGGAAGCTGTCGAACCAGATGATACTGATTGTAGTTCTGGCTGACTTCATCCCCATGAGACTGTTCTAGTTTCTCGAGCAAATGAACCACATCACGGAAATTATCTTGAAACACATCAGACTTACTACTCTCAAAATTTACTTCAATATCTAGAAGCTCGGCTTCATTCTCCACAGAGTCAAACTCCTCTCCCATGCCGAAAGTAATCTCTGCATCATCTGCCTCCGTTACATCAGTCTGAGAGCTGAGAAGTCAATTGGTCAGCATCTGCTGGAAGCACAGTATCGATAAGTTAGCTTATCAAGACTGCGTGTACAAAGATGTGTGCCTGTAAAGTTCTTGAAACAGCCTTACCGGAAAGAATGTGTGACACCGAGGTTTCCATGCAGATGGTAATCAGTAAGTCGGACAACCCAGCATTATTCAAAAGATAGAATCCTTACCGGGAAGAGAAGTTACGAAGAACTCATTGAAACAAGCCTGAATCTAATTTCCTATCGTATCAAAGATTGTGTAAACATATTTATCTATAACGTGTAAGGGCATCGATGTAATTCACTTACAGATAACAAAAAGAACTTTCCATTTAAATCAGGTACATTTAGCTACTAGACGTCTCGTAGCGTCTAAAGATGATAGCGTCCTTCTATATCTTCGCAAGAACCCAGCGATTAGGAATACAAGAGCAATATGGATATCCAGATTTCTTAAACTTGTATTACTCTTAGATACCGAACAACACAAAACACTAATGTCGGTAGCATAAATAATACATGAAACATTTTCATCAGCAGTATTGAAGAAGAAATGCTAAAATGCAGACATTAAACAAAGTTCCTGTATTCTTTACCATACACTCTGGGTTGTTCACCCCTGACTGGTTTTTTCACTCCTGACTGGTTTTCTCACTTCACTGATTTAGAACAGTTCAAATAAAATCCACGTTCATATAAGTCTCTGTCTCTTGAATACTATCTATTAGCTGATATTATCTGATCTATAAGAATATAAAGCAGTTACAGATTATATTGCACAATTGGGAAACATAACCTCAACTAGTAAACATTAGACTCGTAAACTCGTAATACACATTCGAAATGAACTGTGCATGGGAATCATTTACAAGTGTAAACCACTCAATTATCTGAGAACCATGTTTTCACCTAATAGCGACTGTTTTTTTTTTTTTTTTTTTTTTTTTTTTCAAATAAAATGGTGCTTAGGAAAATGTCCGTAAAAAATTCATCAAGGTGGCTGAGTGAGGAGTTTTTATTTTCTTGCAGGATATAAAATTCCGCTTCCAATGATTATAAGACATGTCTTGGTAGCATTTATTTCCGTTACACCTTATATTCACTCTAAATCGACCAGACTAAAATGTCTCCAACACGCGATCAATGGACAATTCTTCTGTGGATTGCGAAGAGCTTTTTTCGTGACCGATATTTGTCCCTCACGCCGTTCCATGAATTTTCATTAGCAGTAATGAACTTGAACTATCCACTAATTTTGCACTTGGTGGGCAGATCAATCAATATTGAGGTCAGCGGAGTAAGTTGTAGTTCCTTCCCAGGAAGGGAAGTAAACACAACCTCCCCACCACCATAGCTACCTGACGGTGGAGTATAAATGTAATTTCCCGTTCTCTCTTTCTCTTTTTTCTTATTTAATGCATTATTTTATACATTTGACAACTCCTATTACAGTCAGCGGAAAAAAAGTATTGAATTTTATATAATATACATTTTGTTTTTATATATATATATGGTGAAAAGGGATCATTTTGGTTATTCCAATTGGCGTAGGGTGTAGATGCAACAGAACATGAGGATTTTTTTTTCTAATGAGAAGAGGAATATATTTGATCTAATACTGAGGTGGAAGTAGAGGTCAAAGTCAACTGAGACAAGCTACTGAAAATCATCTCGGAGGTCAGGAGGAAGATTGTGTATTTTTAGTTTGTCCATATCGCCACCGAATGTGACACAAGGTCAAGTTTACAATGCGTTTAACGACAATGCTGTGGAAAAATTGTACAAGCACTTTCGGCACTTCCACTTTTTTGGAACCCCTCAGGCGCCGGGTAAGGACTCCAGCTCCCTTCCGAAGGAGTGGTACTCCGTGAGGCTTGAGCTAATATTAATTCCAAATTACTCCAGTCGAAGCCAGGGAAGTATTGAGGTTGGAGAGAAGCTGCTTAAATAAACTGAAATTTCGAAGAATAATGACGTCTTTCGTAAACTACGTAACTGAAACAAAAATAAATAAATAAATAATAAACAAATAAAAATAAAATGTCGACAATGTCAAAGAAAATTGACGAGAAGAACAAAATTTCTTGAAGAAAAGTGAAAATATTTATATTTTGTGATAGAGGTAAATAGGGTTTGCCGATTGTACCACATTTGAGAAGTCAAGTGCACATTTTGCTTTTTTTAGAATGGGAAATTAAACTTACTTAATAAATCTGAACTACAGGAATATGTACGAAATCTTTTTTTATCTTCATCCTCTCTCTCTCATATGTTTATCTATCTATCCCTTTTACAATACCAATCACTCAGAATCACGAACTGATTTAATTGATCTTCGAGGGTCTGTAGATCCCTGGTTAAGAAATCGACCATAAGAGAGTCCGCTGGCCCCATATTTGGAAAACTGACCATAAGGTCTGCTGTCCCCTGCTTCTGGTACGCTGCACCTATTCATCAGCATGTAAAGCCCATTTTGTGTCCTTGAGTTTGAGACTTCTGAATTAACGTAATTAGACACAATAGCTGTTAGGTTTCAGTATGGGTCGATTTCAACCCAATGGCGTTTTAATGTTTTGACTGATTGAAAAATCTCGGTGAATTCCTTATTCATTGATTTCATTCATAGACGTCAGAATCTGATCCTTTGATGCATCATCTGTAGCTTTGTTGACTATTTGTCATTTTAAATCTCCGCGAAGTGTGATTCTATTAATTCGATTAATTATCTGACATTTCATTAATCCAATTTATTAAAACCCAACACCTTTTCCCGATTGTTGTGATTTCCTAACAAAGTTCAATTCTTTTTAAGAAATGTCTGACAATGATTTTATTTGTTTGGATAAACTAACAAAATCAATGTCAGACATCTCTTATGTTGTTTTTGGCGACTTCGAATCCTTATTCGGAAATGACTTCGATTGAATCTCCAAAATTATAATTCTTCTCAAATTCTTTTAGAGAAATTACATTTTCATTCTTTGATACTCCCATTTCTTATTTCTTTTCTGAAGTAATAAAACTTTTTACGCCTTGATCCATAGCCAAAACTGTGGGTGTATAAGTTGCGCAAAAGGCAATTGGGATCATTTTTCGTATGGATTAATTCAATGACACACCACTGCTTAGTATTTCTTTTCAGTTTAAATGTCATTTTGCCAAACTGTCGCTCAACATTATATGTAATAAGTAAAAAAATAATATACGTTACCAGTGGGAAGGCTCAGCTTCTGTTGCAAGACAACCAACATTTATCTGTGAAATTGTGGACTAACATAATAAAACACACACACACACACACGTGTGTATATATATATATATATTTTTCTACAGCTATGGGTAAATAGCAGGACATAATGGGTTCTATAGCCTTGGATGGACGCTGGTTTAGGAGAAGGATAACTCTAAATTCAAAACTTGCGGAGGGTTGTTTGGAGATCCTGTGACACATAGTCACCAGGTCTCTGTATTCGGCCCTTCAAAAAGTGTGGATAGTTGGATACGAAACCTTCACTATTGTAATCAAATCACATGTGCTGGTGTCTGGCTGTCGGTTCCTAGGAAATGAGCTGCTTGACCCTCATACGTCGAATATATATATATATATATATATATATATATATATATATATATATATAAAATGTGTGTATATAAATATATACATGTAGGTATACTAATAAGAACATAGCCTAATAATAAAAAAAATCATCATAAACTCCTCCATTTCCAGTGCAATGGTGAATATTATTCGCATCTCTCCAACAATCAGATTGACGACAGTCGAGATCATAGTATCATTTTGAATGCTGAAATACTTTCGCCATCTTCAGTGTTACATACGGTATTAAAATTAATGATTATCTTTTCTCTAGAATGGTTGCCAATCAAGGTTGAAGAGCCCAGGCTGCCCTAGTATTTACCTCATAGTTGGATAGAGAAGAGATATTTATTTGTGCGAAGTTTGAATGCAACGGAACTTGATTGCAATTAGAACTCGGTACAACGATTTTTTTCTTCCAAGCCGCTATCAATGACACCACCAGCACATCCACATTTGCGGGTGTGATCACAGTTTGCGTAGTGAAACTGACAAAATTAAGTATTTATCCACACACACACACACACACACACATATATATATATATATATATATATATATATATATATAAAATATATATACACACACCATATATATTGCATTTGTCGGATCATAGTACATAGTTATTATAGACTAACAATGGTATCCAACGTTGTGTGGGTTAAGTCATTTTGCTATATTGATCTCTGCTACACAGGCTTTTCTCTCAGAGTTGCCTCTGCTATAAAGTTAAAATAGCGAATCTGTCGTAATCAAAGTGGTTCGATTGGGTTAAACATTTTGAGAGGCGTTTATTTTTATACAGGGTAAGTACACTTAAGTGCCTAATTCAAAGGATTCTTTAATAATTAGGTGGCGCCGCAATTTTACTCAATATCCCATAAAAGAGGAAATAAAAAAAAAGAATTTTAGATATATGTTTTAAAAATTCAAAATTGCAATAAAATAATAAACGAGAAGGTCTTAATAAATTCAGGGGTTTGAAAATTTCCTCTAAAAACAAAGGTCTCCACGTCTAATAAGCACCTAAGTGTAGGTAGCACGGATAAGCACTTATAGTAATGGTCGAGGTTTCCTTTCTCGGTGAAGGATTCCGTGATCATGAAGGAATTCGAGTCGTTGCTTCAATGTACGAAAAATTAGAAAGTTTCTTGTATTTAGATTTTCAGACATACACACGAATACACGCAACTCGACATTAACCGAAATTAACTTATATGAAAGTCGCCCTTGTAAAATGTCAGTAATACCAAATGAAGGGACGCTTATCTTTAATTGATGGTTCAGTAAAAATGTTTTCGGAGTATTGATAAAATTTAAGATATTTAGGCATAATGATTACAGAATGGTTCCCAAGATATTTCCATTCAAAGATCAAATATTCTGTTTTTGATTTCACCTTGTCGATGAATATTGCCTTTGCATTGAATATATTTTAGGAAGAAAAAAATTGACAAGGAAAATCCATTCTTATGCAAATTCTTTACATTTGTGCTTTCAAGTTTGATATCTGATCTTATTCCTTTCAGATAATCCGTACACATGCAACATTTATCTCTTATTCTGTAGAAATAAGGCTACGCGTGTATCTTTAAAAACAACGTCGGCATAAACAATATACACAATCACCTAACATCATTTAAACATATGCATTTATTTTTTTACTTTTAAAGAAATATTTCTAAATTATGAAGGGAATTGATATTAAATGAAATATTTCTCAAAAAAATTATACTGCATCTGTCTTGCGCTAATGGTAACATTTAGCCACACTTTTTCCCACAGACGGCAACAAAGCAAAGCCCTTCATTACTCAATCGCTACTTTATATGACAAAAGTTCTGGCGAGCTTCGTTCTTTTGTACAACCAGCTCAGACCTTTAAAACCAATAAACGTCTTGCTATATCCAGATGATTGGATCACCCAATTCCTTACTTATAACTTTGGCAAGAAGAGCGTTTCACTCAGAATACTTCTCCACTTGTGGAACAGTTTTCTGCTTGGATATTTCCCAAAACACCACAATCTTAACCATTTCAAGTCTAGGACTAATAATTATCTATCCGCCCTATCCTCGTAATCTTTACTTTCTATTTCATCCTCTTGCATTCATAACACATTCATTAATCACTAACACTCTACCTTGGCTCTTAGTTTTTATATTGGATGAACTTTAGTATAAAAATAAAAATAACTAGTGAACAGTTAGTAAAAGAGTGATTGTTAAAAGCAAGAGAAATAATACTGAATAATAATGTCCTATAGGCCCCAAGGCCAAAGTTGACAATGGGTCTTGTCCCTGTCTGAACAGTCATTATGGCAATTAGTGCTGAATCACCTGTACCATCATTTATCAGGTCATCTCAGTGAAAAAAGAGGACAAAGGGCAGGTATTCAAACTTATCCGTTTCTTTTGATTATTAATGATTATAGTCCGACACTAGTGAAATTCGAACGCAGTTTGCCAGTCTTGTTGGTGTCGATAACTGTTAGACGATCTCGTACTGACGAAGATTAGGAGAGGTTTTTAAGATAGCTGAAAAGTTGTCAGCTCTGTTCACTTCCCCGAATCGTTCTTCTAATGTTTGCACATTGAAATATTGATGTTGGAAAGTGGCTCGCATCGCGAACTTTGCAGCACATCCTATTACATTGTAATCAACGTTTAATCTTTTATTTTGTTTCTGCATTGCCAAAAACTTCATTTGATGCGATTGAACGCGAGAAAATCAAATGGTTGATTACAAAAAATCCTACCATCACCAAAGAAAAAAGGAAAAGAAAGAAAAATTAACCGCAAACCCGTTTTTTATAATTTTTTGCCTAATATTCTGAAATGAAATATTCAAGATTATTTCGGGGTACTCTATCCAACTTCAATTTTCTCGCCTCATTTTGGGTCATAATTTTTGTCAGTCTTCCTCTAATAATCGGTGTATCCAATAACGGTTGAACATCCTTCTAGTATTATCTGTCTATCTATCTGTCTGTGTATCTGTCTATCTATCTATCTGTCTATCTATCTATCTGTCTGTCTATCTATCTATCTATCTATCTATCTGTCTGTGTATCTATCTGTCTGTGTATCTATCTGTCTGTGTATCTATCTATCTATCTATCTAATAAAAATACAGTTTTGAGTTATGCTATATTTAGAGATACAGCTCGTGTAAATAAAAGTGAAGACTGACGTCAACAGCAACAACTTGCCAAAACTTAAAACTCTTATCCAGATAGAATCTCGAATAAATAGGACAATAATGAAAAAAGAAAGAAACGAAAAGGCCTAACAGCAATCTTACCTACACAGTAAAGTGCTCGAAGCCATGATTGCTTAGACCCAAAAAATGCTTACCAACGTTAATTCCTATCAAAAGGATGGCTCTAGTCGTAACTCAAGTTTCATATTCACGCGATCTACAGACGATTTGAAGATAAACGTATTATCTTCAGGCAATATACAGGGTGACTGAAAAGTAACTTCCTATTTTATGTATGATCTTCAGAATATACATACATATATATATATATATATATATATAAAATAGGATACACAATCTAGACAATGTTGGGAGAATATGACAAATACAAAACCGTTTGATTAAAACTAGATTACGCGTTTCGTCTTTATTAGGCTTCATCAGATCAAAAACGAAAGAAAGAAATATGTGTGTGTATTTGCCTGTATGTTTAAATAATAAATCATTAGTATTTTTTCCGCTTAGCTGGCTTTTCTTGTGCTGAAAGAAAAGAATGAAATTGTACGACTTTTGTAAAAAAAACAGAAAACATTAATGTTTTTTTTCTGTATCTTTTCTTGGCAATTGTCTTGTTGAATTTTATTTATGCATTTTCCCAGCTTTTCTGCGTTGAATTTAAAGTAAATCATCATCCTATTTTCCGAATGGCTCGAAAGCAAGATTCATATAGCCTTTTCTAAAATCAATTCAAGGAAAATCTTTATCCAATTTTTCAGAAAGTGTTGAAAGTAAATGGTTTAGGTTTTTAGGTCTGTTTTTGCGTTTTCCGTGTTGACAATATGTGTATAAAATAGGATATTAAAACTGTTTCATAGAAATTAGATTACGCACCGAATGGCGACAGTCTTTTTCATACTGAAAGCAAACCTTCAGGCCATGTTGACCTAGTGTCCACTTTCATATATACACACACACACACATTCTATTTGCTGATATTGATTATTTTTACCAATAAAAAATATAGCAAATATATATATATATATATATATATATATATATATATATATATATATATATATATTTAAGGAACAAGCGTAATTTCTTATTTATTTCTTTTCGTCTTCCGGCTATATATAAATCAAATGAAAAGCTTTTCTTTAACGACAGATTTTGTTCTCTGATGGATTTTATCAAGGTAATCCTTTCATTTGTCTTGATAAAGTCCTTATATATATATATATATATATATATATATATATATATAATGGAGAGAGAGCTAGGGCTGTTGTTTAATTATTGATATGAGATTGACAAATGAAGCTTTAATAAGATTGTCCATTTCTGGTGCAGACCCTCTGATGGCCGATGTGGATAATATACCCCGTCAAAAATGTAGTTGATGAAAACGAATAGAATGTGGATGAATTCTGATTGGAACTTCTCCGATGAGTTTACGTCTTTCTCTCTATCTCCCCCCCACTTTTTTTTTTTGATCGCTTCCTCACTAATCATGTGATTTTTCTCAAAACGGATGTATTTTTCCCATCATAATATATATTTCTGTCATCATTTTGTTTTTCTCATTTTGCGTCAGCCAGTGTTACTAGTGGTGTAGTTTCTTTAACAACTTATAAAGCTTTTTTTTCATAACAATCCTTTGTCAAGATAAACCGTAGAGACCTTACAGAAAAGTAAACAGTTTGACATATGGTCTGCTTACGTCCTCGAGAGATCACCTCACCGGTGTAGGTCTGTTTTGTCGAATATTAGTGCCATTCTTATTACATTTGCAAGCTTGAGGAAGTATATATTTGTAATAGAGAACATATTGAGAATGGGGTAGGGAATGTATAGGGTGAAAGCATTAAAGTAAGCAGATGGGTCATATGTAAGTGACAAACAAATCCACATTACATAGATGGTTGGTTAAAAGATATGAACCATCTCAGGTGGGTCGATTCATAAACTGTTTTTTTTTTTTTTTAGTCAGTGGAGAGGAAGGATGGTTCAGGTTGATGGAGGACTAAGGTATTTTTTTTTCAAGCTTACTTCAGAAACAATAGCCTATGTTGCACTTACAAAGTTGCATGATAGGTACTGGAGAGTCTATCTGGTGTGACTAATGCGGATTGCATCATAAGAAATTTTTAATCAACTATTAGCTTTGTCTTTTCTATGTGCCTGAAGGTGATCACAGCAAGCATGGCGCAGACATTTTCTTATGTTCAGAAAAGAAAAAAAAACGATGGCAGTTATGCGAAAGTGTCAGCGTGTCCTTCCTTAGCATGATGGCCAGCACAAAATCCTATGGACGCTTTGGGGACGTCAGAATAAAGCAAATACAGCAATTTGACTATCTTGAAAGTGTTAAAGGCGATGGAAAATGTGGCACAGAGATCCGAAGGTAATATTCATCCACAAATTGGAATTGTAGAAGATGCATTCCAAAAGCAACACAAATTAATAAAATACGGCAAAATTTCGTGAGAAAGAAAATAGCGCTGATTTGCTACGTAATATCAATCCTCCTATATAGCAATGAATACTGGGCAATTTTATCACAGATGAAGAAGGTACTTAGAGGCAATAAAAATGTAGTTCTATTGGAGGATACTGAGAATATCATGGACGTACCATGTGAGCAGCGAAGAAGTCTTAAGGAAAATGGAAACATAAATGTCTCTTGTACTTAGAAAAAGGCAGTTGAAATTTCAGGAAGACACAAGGAAGAAAGAGAATTTGACACAGAATAATGAAGACAAAACTGACAAAGTGAAACATCGAACAAACTACGCAACGAAATTCTATGAAGGGATGGTAAAAGAGAGAAAGGGTTACAGTAAGGAATAGGAGGTTATGGAGGGCCGTGATCGGTTACGTCCTGAAGGAACACGACACATGAAAGAAAGAATGTGCAAAATGAAAAGATGATAATCATTCAATAAGCAATTATTTAGTCGGATGCTTCATTTTTCACTTGAAGTAATTATGCTAAGACGAATCAGTCTTGTGTGCAAGCGTCGGCCATGATTAAATTATTTCTTTCGATTCACCTTCCCTGAACGCTGTTTATTTAGCTTATTATTTTTCAAATAATTTTCTCTGCGGTGCGATTATTCAGTTCCAGTTTATTAAACACACTTTTTTGTTATAAGTTAAAATTTTCCCACTAGCGCGATTATTCCAGACGGCACTTGTATTTGGTACAAAAGTCAACCAATCCCCAATGTTAGTGCCTAAGTATAAAACCTGTAAGCTGAAGCCATTTATACCAACCGCTGAATATTATTCATACTGGCAGCTTTTATCTCGTAAATTTGACAAGATAATAATCCAATCCGCTGACGGATAGTGAGCTCAGTGATCCGGATAAATCGATAATTATCACTCAATCATTGTGTGAATGCGATAATATCATGGAGAAATATCGATTAAAACGGAATGTGTTTTGCTCAAGATCTACACGATTTCAGAGTGGTGAGAATGAGCTAATTCCCACGAATTATACACTTTGTCATAGATGTTCTGATGATAATAAAACTGTGGTAAGATATTTTCCCATGTATAAATTTAGCGACAAGAATATTTTCGTACTGTAAATTTTACTCGAATAAAATGTACACAGTGTTGATCTGTTGACAATTATTTCCCATGCGCATATACAAATATATATATATATATATATATATATATATATATATATATGACAAATTTAATTTATATATATTTATATATATATTTAAATTATAATTTAATTTATATATATTTATATATATATATGAAACGCAATTTAATTTATATATATTTATATATATATATGAAGCTACAATTTAATTTATATATATTTATATATATATATATAAGTTACAATTTAATTTATATATTTATATATATATATGAAGCTATTTAATTTATATATATATATATATGAAGCTAGCTTATATATTTATATATATATATATTTAATTTATATATATATATATGAAGCTACAATTTAATTTATATATTTATATATATATATATGAAGCTACAATTTAATTTATATATATATATATATATATGAATGCTACAATTTAATTTATATATTTATATATATATATATATATGAAGTTATTTAATATATATATATATATATAGCTACAATTTAATTTATATATATATATATGAAGCTACAATTTAATTTATATATTTATATATATATATATGAAGCTATAATTTAATTTATATATTTATATATATATATGTATTTATATATATATATGAAGCTACAATTAATTTATATATATATATATATATATAAAGCTACAATTTTATATATATATATATATAGGACTCAATTTTATATATATATATATATATATATATATATATGTATATAGCCTCTGTCTGTTTTTTATGGAACTTCTAGGATTTTGGAAATAGACTCCATAATCACACACACACACACATATATATATATATATATATATATATATATATATATATATATAAACAACATTACCCATACACACACATTTTTTCTCTAATAGGATTTCTCGAATATTCAGGTCGGTAGATACAAATAAATATACTGTTTATTCAAATAAGGATATCGCCTAGAAAATAATTTTTACAAACGTTATTTTCATAAATATGTCGGACTAGTAGACAAAAAATTATTCATTTATAATATGTCGGATTAATTAAAATAGAAACTAATTTATTAAAATATGTCAGATTAATAAATAAAAATCTATAAATTTTATTGGAATGTTCTTGGCTTGAATCACTTACCAAAATATGATCACTCGGCAAAAAATCTTGTTCAATCTCCTCATGGACGAGGCAAAACTATAGAAAGCAGATATATGCTTCTACAGAAGGATACTGACAATTCCATGAACAAAGCGAGTAAGCACCAAGGAAGTCTGGTAGAAAATGGCAACAGAAAGAACACACAC